TTCAATGTCATAAACTCATCTAAACCTTTTATCAATTTCTGAGTCCCTCCAATGGTCTCGGCGATTACTCCAGAATTCCGTGGACTCTTTTTACTGGTGGATGATAATAATAATTGATTGTCTGGAGGTAATGATTTTTTGTTGTGATTTAAAACAATTTCTTCTTTTGATATTTCGTGACATAAATTCAAGATGATAACGATTTTTTTCGTGGTTTTCACACGTTTTTTTCTACCTGGGGATCATGCGGGTGGATAAAATTATTGGGGCAAGAATTTTTTTTTTCTCAGGGACATCCTGAGAGTCGGGATAAAAATGATACGAAAATAAATGGGAGGTGAATACGGGGAGCGACAAAGACGCGATTTTCCTCTCGTTCTGACTGAAAATTGAAGAAAAAAATAATTTCCTTGGTAATTCCCTAAGTTCTGGGGAAGTATCGGTGGATGAGCTGTTCAGTGATCAATGAAATCATCAATTCATCATCTTACTTCATAAAAACCAAAAAAATCTCTCTTTTTCTCGACATCATCATCATTTTTGTATTTTTCGCTGGGGAAATGCATGAGAAATTAAGCAATTGATTAAAATTCAACATCAAATCGAAGAAGAACTGTAAAGAGTAAAAATTTTACGTAGAGAAAAGAAATAAAGAAACATTCCGATTAATCGTCGTAAATACCATTTTTTTATCGTTTGAAAATCATATTTCATTGCTGAAAATCTAAATGAGAAATAATTTGCTGTTTTTTTTTTTCGGCTAAAAACAGATGCGATTGAATAAAAAGACAAATTGCGAGTGAAAAAAGAGAAGAAAAAAATGTCAGCTGATGTTTTCTTCCTCTCGCAGTTAATGAATTAATTTCGATGAGGGTGGACCCCTTAGGGGCCTCAATGCCCTCCGAGTGATAAAAAAAAAAGGCGCCGAACACCTGGCGATAACTCTCAAGAGCTGAAACTGAAAAAATGTAATAAAACATGAATTAATAGACGAAGAAACAAGTGAAACTGATAATGAGATAATTAATTAGTTATCGGTAACTGATTAACGGGGCGAATTTTTCGGGGACCTATGGACCCGAAAGAGAGAATTTTCAGTTGAAAAAATATGAAAATATGAGAAACAATGTTTTTTTTTAGATAATAATTAAATTCCCCGTTAATTCCCATCCATTGATGAATGCGTCACTTCTGCGAGTGCTGAATGCGTTTTTACGGAACACATAATCCTCTTTATTAATAAAAAAAAATCTAAATAAATTAAGAGATACAGAAAAACGTTTCAGATTATAGAAGAGCTAAATGAAACGTTTAATTACGTGAAAAAATGGAGATAAATTCGTATTATGTATGAATGTTCAAGAATAATTTGTGAAATATATTGTAACTGTGCTTTACACGATTTTTATTTATTTCCTCACTGATAATTTTTCATGCGC